TGGCCTTCACAGTCACTTACGGACTCATTGTTAAAACCGTGTTTATCTTACAGTGGTACCTCTAGATACGAACGGGATCCATTCCGGAGCCCCGTTCGCATCTAGAGGTAAACGTAACTAGCGATGGCACGTCTGCGCACGCGCGTGTCACTTTTTGCCGCTTCTGCGCATGCGCGTGGTGTCATTTTGAGCATCTGCGAATGCGCAAGCGGCGAAACCCGGAAGTAACGTGCTCTGTTACTTCCGGGTTGCCGAGGAGCGCAACTCGAATGCGCGCAACTCGAAGCGTATTTAACCCGAGGTATGACTGTACTTGGCTGTGAGTGATCATCAAAGAAGAAGAAGACGACTCTCCCAGCTCACTAAACCTCTTCAGCTTCTGACACCACCTCCTCCCTCTTCTCCTTCTGATTTCCCATCGCCATCCCACCACCAACCCCCTCACTCTGAGCCTTCTTCCATTGGGGGGTCCCCAGCTAGTCCCTTCTACCACTCTGCGTCCAGCCAGTTTGTGACAGTGCCCCTGCAAAACATTTCTACTTTAAAATAACTGAATAAATAGCTGTGAAAATTCATTGAAATATTCAGGATGTTGGGATATTTGTGACAAAATTGAAACCAAAGTTGTTTTTATGCCCTGATAATGTTGCTCTTCGTGGGACGCGGGTGGCGCTGTGGGTAAAAGCCTCAGCGCCTAGGGCTTGCTGATCGAAAGGTCGGCGGTTCGAATCCCCGCGGCGGGGTGCGCTCCCGTCGTCCGGTCCCAGCGCCTGCCAACCTAGCAGTTCGAAAGCACCCCCGGGTGCAAGTAGATAAATAGGGACCGCTTACTAGCGGGAAGGTAAACAGCGCTTCCGTGTGCGGCTCTGGCTCGCCAGAGCAGCGATGTCACGCTGGCCACGTGACCCGGAAGTGTCTCCGGACAGCGCTTGCCCCCGGCCTCTTGAGTGAGATGGGCGCACAACCCTAGAGTCTGTCAAGACTGGCCCGTACGGGCAGGGGTACCTTTACCTTTTACCTATAATCCTATAATTTTTCTGTAGAGGCCGAGTTGGCCTGTGGCGATTGTTATTTTTGAAACAGAATAATATTTATTTTAATAACAAGAGAAGAAATTATACATATTGGTTCTCAGGAAACATTTTTGTAGAAACGAATCTCACTGACATCTTACTGATGGCTGACACAAATAAAGATTCATTCATTCATTCTCACTGACAAACGTGCTCCTGTTAACATCTCCAGGATTTCCTTGACACACCTGCATACGGAATATGCTAATATTCACAATTTCCTTCATGTTTACTGAGCTCACGTTTGGAGAGAAACATTAAAATATCAATCTACTAAAGATTGATGTTTTGTTATGTTTTGTGTTTTTTTAAAATAGAACACTTGACTAATATTATTCATAGATTCCATCTTGCTGTGACATTTTTGGATTAGAAAAAGAGTGGTGTTGGATTTCACTTTTCAGAGTGAACATTTTAATGGAGACAGGCCTAAATCATGGAGCTCTGTCATTATGGGGTGTGAAAGACGTGCCCCAAACTTTTGTGATCTCAGTGTCTTCAACGTCTGTTGTTTACCAATGAGGAGGAACCGCAGAGTGCAGCCGAAGGTAACCCTTGTTGGAAGTTTGTTTTGCTTCTTTCCTGAAAACTGTGTGTGTCTATGTTGGTTCATAATACGGCTGTTGCAGTGTGATATGGGCATTCCGCCATACAGTATGGGAACAGAAGTATATTTTAACTTGTTATATTCTGTGTTAAGTAGAAGCTGCTATGATTTAGCTAAATTACTATTACTTTTTCAATTTTTAATTTTCACAAAAGAAAAACAAAAAAACATAAAAAAGGGAAAGATAAGTCAATCTTACAGTAGGTATTCTTAGACTAAGATGAATGTTACAATATACATAGTAAAATTGTTTAGAAATCTAAGATAGGTATATAGATATAGATATATACTTATAATAACATTGAAAAGAAAAACAACCGGAAAAGTGTTAAAATTAAAAATTCCTATCAATCGATAAGCAATGTTCAACCAATTCAAACCAATACTAGGGTATTTTGTACACAAAATCCTTCGTGTTGGATTGAATCCCGGATCAATTTATTGTTTTGTTGACTTCCGTCTAACTCTTTGCGGTTTCAATTCAACATACTCCTATTTTTAATCTGTATTTAATTGTTTATCCTCACCTTGGGGTGAAGAAAAAATATTTTTCTATCTGTGAAAATTATTCTAGACACAGCCAAGTGTTATTTTTGGAACCGTGTTTTGTCAAATAGTTACTAAAACATTCCCACTATTTTTCAACCTTATCTACCGATTTGTTTCTTATTAACTCCGTCATTTTAGCGAGTTCCAAGCACTCACATAATTTTAATTGCCATTCCTCTCTTGTTGGTGTTGATTCGTTCTTCCAATATTTCGCTATTAAGATTCTGGCTGCTGTAACTGCATAAAGAAACAGTCTTTTGGTTTCCTTTAGAATGTTTATTGTTAAAATGCCTAATAAAAACGCTTCTGGGGTTTTTTTTAAGTTTTTTTTTTAAATGTATGTTTTAGCATTTTTTAAAACTCTTCGTAAATCATGTCCTAGATTACTATTACTATGCTTTCTAAAGAAAAGAAAAAGGTGCACTTTTTTTTTAAAAAAAGAGGAAATCTTGATGAGTTTATTAAAGCAGGACAAGTGATCCAAGTAAACATATAGGTCTATTTATCCTGAAGTCTGGGACACAGGTGGCGCTGTGGGTTAAACCACAGAGCCTAGGACTTGACAATCAGAAGGTCAGCGGTTCAAATCCCCGTGACGGGGTGAGCTCCCGTTGCTCCGTCCCTGCTCCTGCCAACCTAGCAGTTCGAAAGCACGTCAAAGTGCAAGTAGATAAATAGGTACCCCTCTGGCAGGAAGGTAAACGGCGTTTCCGTGCGCTGCTCTGGTTCGCCAGAAGCGGCTTAGTCATGCTGGCCACATGAGCTGGAAGCTGTACGCCAGCTCCCTTGGCCAATAAAGCGAGATGAGCGCCGCAACCCCAGAGTCGGCCACGACTGGACCTAATGGTCAGGGGTCCCTTTACCTTTACCTATCCTGAAGTCTAAAAGGCAAGTTCCATCTGTCTCCAGGCAATGATGATATAGCACACTTTCAAACAGCTTTACATTACAACCGGTTGGTTTCACCAGTGCTGCTTTTGTGTTTTTTAATGGACTGAACAGAGTGAAAGATTATGAGTTATGGGGGGGCTGGGGAGTGTGTGTATGTGAATTCAGCAGTGCTTAGTTTATTTTTGGGTTGCTATTTTGGTAAAATCTGTTAATATTGTTTTATTGATTCTAAATGCCGTATTAATTTGTCCATCCTATAATATGACTTTTGTTGCAATTATGCTGTTTAGCTATCTTTTTTAGTTATTTCGTTAATGGTATTTTGTAGATTGCATTTGTTTCTCTGACGATTTGTTAATTGCTTGGTGAGATTTATGCTGTGTTTGTGATGTTCTGTTCTGTTATTGCTATGTATGGTTTGTAAACCGCTTTGCGATTCATTTGAAAGAAAAGCAATATGGCAATATAATAAAGCAAAGCCAAGCAAACTTGCCAACTCTGAAATAAACTGAGTGGGAGACTTTGTTTAATTTTTAAAAAAAATTATTTGGTTTTTCAGTTTAAAGTTTTGCAGTCAATTATCAACAACCAACATAAAAACAAGATTCAAAAGAATTTCCTGAACTTCCCTCCTCCCCTTTGTGGGTCCTCTTGTTAACCATTTCCTCCTGCATCTTTTATAATAATCCAAATCTTTTACATCTCCATATATTCAAAATTCAACATTAAACTACAAGTATTATTCCAATCCTACTAACAATTTTAACTGTTTGCCATGGTTTTTAAGATAAATTATAAATTCCCCCCATTCCTTATTAAAATTTTGGTATTCCTGGTTTCTGATTCTTCCGGTCATTTTTGCCATTTTGGCATAATCCGTCAACTTAATCTGCCATTCTTCTCTGGTTGGGTCTTGGTCTTTTTTCCCCCATCTCTGGGCCATTAACATCTGAGAAACTGTGGTACTTTGTTTAAAAAATTAGCCTCTGTTCCTTGTCATTTCCCCTTTCCTGAAAAAAATCTATTTCCCCCCCATGTCCTGAATATATTACAAATAGGATTCCACATATATGGAGTTCAGGTTGCTGCTGGAAATTACTTCCTGGTGAACACTCTCATTCTATTTTCCTAACTTCTGTGGGAAGGGTCTGGATTCTATTGTAGGAGTTGGCAAGGTTTACCTCGCCTGGGCTGGTTCACTCCAGCGGAGATCCCTCCTTGGGCCGGATCACACGCACGTGTGAGTGTGCGTGCCTGCATCTGTGCAGACACGATTTCCGGCGTCTGCGCATGTGCAGATGCGATTTCCAGTGAAGAGTGCGGGGACTCGCAGAGAGGGTGGCTCGGTTCGGAGGTGTCTCAGGAGCCGGTTAAACGACCACCGTGGGCTGCTTGTGGCCCATGGGTCTTAGGTTGCTGACCCCTGCTCTATTGTTTAGTACCAGGCAGGAAAAACATACTCCACTCCTCTAAATTCTCTGGCTTGTCCAGGAGCCAGGATCTTCCTATACTAAAGGACACAAAGGGGAGCAGTTAGTTCACTTCTTGTAGCAGGCAAAACTCGTTATAATAATAATAATAATAAATTTTATTTATATCCCGCCCTCCCCAGCCGAAGCCGGGCTCAGGGCGGCTAACAACAATAAAATAATACAACATTCTAAAATCATTTCATTATAAAATTAATTCAAATCAAATTGATGGCAACCATTGTGCTAGAGTTCTGTGAAGATTGCCAAAGGAGGGAGTCAATTTGCTGTGTAAATCTGTTTGCTCATGATTTCATATACCCTGCAAAAGTTATTTTTTAATGTTTTAAAGACTTTATGAAACCAAATCCAAACGATTTCTTTTTGTGCTAACTTTATTTATCCCATTAGAAATTAAATAGCAGCATAAGTGTGCTCCCTCACCTGGAGTGCCAAGTTAAGAGCAATTTGGTTTCAAGTGCTGTGAAGCCGCAGCAGCAAGATGCTATCCTTCCGCAAATAACCGCCAAGAACTTGCAGAATGTAAATGCGTTGCATCAGGTAAGCCAGACAGAGCTTAGTACTATGTTTTTACGTTTCATTGTTGTGGTTAGAAAAGTTGCGGAATATCGTGTATGTAGATGCGTGCATCTCATGGTGTCAGAATTTTTTTTTTTATAAACGTTGACGTTTACCAGGCATTCTTAAGATTTTCAAAATTGCAGGAAGATATTCTGAGTTCTTTAGTAAATAGAGATCATGTTGATGGTAGAAGGAACCCTACCTAGCCTGATAGAAAAGCTCAGGCCTTATATACAGTAACCCTTGCCTCCAAATCCAGGATGTCGTGCCCTCTTGCAGAAGATAAGAGCACAGACACACACAGAGGGCCCCAAGAGAATGTGGTGGTTGAGACAAACATGGGGTGTGCTCTGTAGAGAGTGTCCTCCCTAGAAGAAGGCACGTGGTGCAGTGAGACCTGGAGACTGACCTCCTGGTTGTGGGTGGGTATGTTGGACAGCCACAACACCCGATTGGTAGGTTCCTTGTTGCTGGGTTTAATCTGGCCAATGGGGTGCAGTCTAAACGGGTCGAGGGACCTATATATACCTATGCACGTGACCCAGAGCTTCCTCTTTCGGCTTGTGCATCGGAACACCCGCCCACCTCTCCCTATATTTAGGGCATTTTGCGCTTGACCTTGCTATGCCATCGTGTGTCGTCTGTCGTTGGGACAGGGGCACGGCAGGAATTTCCCCCACTTGGCTGATTGGCTGGTGCCATTTGGGTTTCGCCTCCCGCGTAGCAAATCGTCACAACTTGTAAGGTTGCGGATAGGCTCTGGTTCAGGTGATAGGGATGGGAGAACGCTCTTGCCATCCCTATGTGAAGGGTATTCCGTTAAAGGAATCCAGGGACTCAACTTGGTTTGGTCAACCCCCGAAAAAGGGTTGTGCCCATGCCTGAGTCCAGGGGAGCATCTAGGTAGTAAACATAGTGTGTTCCCAGGCTTTTCACCCACCTCAGGTGTTCGCCTTTGGCTGACCTATGATAGAGCTCTGGGTCAGCGCTACCTGCAAGGGTGCAGGGAGCTAGTCGAACCAGAGCCTATGCAACCACTCATTTCTGTAATCAATAATGTTGTGGCCTAAATTCTGGCAAAAACCAAATCTAAAATTTGAGTCAAATGTGTGTTTATCTAGGGAGGGGGGTGTCTCTTGGTCTGAACACACAACCAGGTTTCTGCATGGAACATTGAGCCCTTTTGTTCTATCCTTTTCACTGAAGGTGGGGAAAATCTGACCCCCCCCCAGCAGAGAAATACCAGTTCCTGTCCATACATATGTGCCTATATGCCTAAGGATGCAGAAGGCTCTTCATTGCCTTCATTACAGCTGTCTAAAGATGGCCTCTGTTGTTGTTTTAATCAGACGAGAATTACTCATTTGAAATTATTTTACTGTAGAGATGGACTGAGAAAAAGGGGCTGAGATGTATGGACTTAAGGCAAGTATTTTACAAAGCACCGTATTACTCTTTAGCAGGAAAACAGAGCCCCAGGCCAATCATTTCCTTCAGCTCCTCGTGAAAACAGTGCTATAGTTCTGTCCAGCAAGACAGAAACAGAAAAAGGCCACAATCTAAAGCTGCCTCTGACTTCAGCAGGTACAAATTTTGATTGCTCATTTTTTTTTAACAGAAGCAAATTGATGGACAAAATTGAGACAAATGCTTGAATGCGACTTGGAGTGGGTAAATTGTTGTTGTTTAGTCACTTAGTCGTGTTCGACTCTTCGTGACCCCATGGACCAGAGAACGCCAGGCACTCCTGTCTTCCACTGCCTCCTGCAGTTTGGTCAAACTCATGCTGGTAGCTTCGAGAACACTGTCCAACCATCTCATCCTCTGTCGTCCCCTTTCTTCTTGTGCCCTCAATCTTTCCCAACATCAGGGTCTTTTCCAGGGAGTCTTCTCTTCTCACGAGGTGGCCAAAGTATTGGAGCCTCAGCTTCACGATCTATTCTTCCAGTGAGCACTCAGGGCTGATTTCCTTAAGAATGGATACGTTTGATCTTCTTGCAGTCCATGGGACTCTCAAGAGTCTCCTCCAGCACCAGAATTCAAAAGCATCAATTCTTCAGCCATCAGCCTTCTTTATGGTCCAGCTCTCACTTCCATACATCACTACTGGGAAAACCATAGCTTTAACTATACGGACCTTTGTTGGCAAGGTGATGTCTCTGCTTTTTAAGATGCTGTCTAGGTTTGTCATTGCTTTTCTCCCAAGAAGCAGGCGTCTTTTAATTTTGTGACTGCTGTCACCATCTGCAATCATCATGGAGCCCAAGAAAGTAAAATCTCTCACTGCCTCCATTTCTTCCCCTTCTATTTGCCAGGAGGTGATGGGACCAGTGGCCATGATCTTACTATTTTTGATGTTGAGCTTCAGACCATATTTTGCGCTCTCCTCTTTCACCCTCATTGAAAGGTTCTTTAATTCCTCCTCACTTTCTGCCATCAAGGTTGTGTCATCTGCACATCTGAGGTTGTTGATATTTCTTCAGGCAATCTTAATTCTGGCTTGGGATTCATCCAGCCCAGCCTTTTGCATGATGAATTCTGCATATAAGTTAAATAAACAGGGAGACAATATACAGCCTTGCCGTACTCCTTTCCCAATTTTGAACCAATCAGTTGTTCCATACCCAGTTCTAACTGTAGCTTCTTGTCCCACATAGAGATTTCTCAGGAGACAGATGAGGTGATCAGGCACTCCCATTTCTTTAAGAACTTGCCATAGTTTGCTGTGGTCGACACAGTCAGAGGCTTTTGCATAGTCAATGAAGCAGAAAGTAGATGTCTTTCTGGAACACTCTAGCTTTTTCCATAATCCAGCGCATGTTTGCAATTTGGTCTCTGGTTCCTCTGCCCCTTCGAAATCCAGCCTGCACTTCTGGGAGTTCTTGGTCCCCATATTGCTTAAGCCTGCCTTGTAGAATTTTAAGCATAACCTTGCTTGAATGAGACTTGGAGTGGGTAAATATATAAGCTATAAAATGGGGTGGGGGGAACCCTGGTTCAAACCACATCCCAACTGTGAACTTACTTGCAGATCTCAGGCCAGCCTTTCAGTTTTCCCAGCCCCAATTTGCACTACAGGGATAATAATAATAGCGGGTGGTGATGGGGGTTAAACCACAGAGCCTAGGACTTGCCGATCAGAAGGTTGGCGGTTTCGAATCCCCACAAAGGGGTGAGCTCCCGTTGCTCGGTCCCTGCTCCTGCCAACCTAGCAGTTCGAAAGCACGCCAGTGCAAGTAGATAAATAGGTACCGCTCCAGCGGGAAGGTAAACAGCATTTCCGTGTGCTGCTCCTGGTTTGCCAGAAGCGGCTTAGTCATGCTAGCCACATGACCCGGAACTGTACGCCGGCTCCCTTGGCCAATAAAGCGAGATGAGCGCCGCAACCCCAGAGTCCGTCACGACTGGACCTAACGGTCAGGGGTCCCTTTACCTTTACTGAGCTCACTGATAGGTAAGGTAAAGGTACCCCTGCCCGTACGGGCCAGTCTTGACAGACTCTAGGGTTGTGCGCTCATCTCACTCTATAGGCCGGGAGCCAGCGCTGTCTGGAGACCTTCCGGGTCACGTGGCCAGCGTGACAAAGCTGCATCTGCCGAGCCAGCGCAACACACGGAACGCCGTTTACCTTCCGCTAGTAAGCGGTCCCTATTTATCTACTTGCACCTTTGACATGCTTTTCGAACTGCTAGGTTGGCAGGCGCTAGGACCGAGCGACGGGAGCGCACCCCGCCGCGGGGATTCGAACCGCCGTCCTGATGATCGGCAAGTCCTAGGCGCTGAAGCTTTAACCCACAGCGCCACCCGCATCCCTGAGCTCACTGATGCAGGGACACTAATACTAAACTAGCCTCCTCTAACCCTGTGGTCTCCATATGTTTTTATTCTGCACCTCCCAGCAGCCATAGCCAGCATTTTTGGGGAACTGCTTTAAACAGCATATTCTGAGAGATGGGGAGAATGAGGAAATGAGTTATTTATTACATGATGGTTAAGTTATTTATCGGCCAGGAAGATGCTGCCACCAGCTCTTGAAGTTGGTCCATCAATATTTTGTACAATTTGTTTGCTTTAGTATTTAAATCGTGAGCTGCTTTGGGTTCCTTGGCAGAATTTATAGGTGCAATAAATAAATGAACACAATATCCAATGTTTGATTTTTGTCTCCAAATCAGAAGCCTTGAAACATTTTAAAAACCAGCTAACAACGTATGAGCAGCGGGAGATTAAGGAATATAGAGAGCTGTGGTTTCTTGGACTGGGAGCTAAAAAGATTGAAGCCTATCCTGATGCAGAGAACAACAGTTCCTATGATGATGATCATGGCTCCTACAAAAAGGTAAGAGGCTGAAAGTGCAGTATTGCTTTGGCATCCGTGACTGTGGAAACAATGCAGAACTATTGGTGTTCATCTTGTGTAAGAGCTGTCCAATGAGAGGAAGTGAAGAGTAATTTTCTCATTGCATTTAATAAATCCTGGCTCAGGAATATGAATATTGGGGACTCATGATGCTCACCTCTCACCTTGCCAACAAAGGTCCATATAGTTAAAGCTATGGTTTTCCCAGTAGTGATGTATGGAAGTGAGAGCTGGACCATAAAGAAGGCTGATCGCCGAAGAATTGATGCTTTTGAATTATGGTGCTGGAGGAGACTCTTGAGAGTCCCGTGGACTTGAAGAAGATCAGACCTCTCCATTCTTAAGGAAATCAGCTCTGAGTGCTCACTGGAAGGACAGATCCTGAAGCTGAGGCTCCAATACTTTGGCCACCTCAGGAGAAGAGAAGACTCCCTGGAAAAGACCCTGATGTTGGGAAAGATGGAGGGCACAAGGAGAAGGGGACGACAGAGGATGAGATAGTTGGATAGTGTTCTCGAAGCTACCAGCATGAGTTTGACCAAACTGCGGGAAGCAGTGGAAGAAACGAGTGCCTGGCGTGCTCTGGTCCATGGGGTCACGAAGAGTCTGACACGACTAAACAACTAAACAACAACAACAAATGCTCACCTCAAATATGAGATGAGCATTTACAGCCCTATATTCTTCTTCAGCTTGGATTTTGATCTAAAATGAGAAGATTTTAATCTGAGCCAGAGTCTTTATTGTAATCCCTGCGTTCCTTCTACCACGTGTCACTGGGTGATGAATGCATGGAACATGTACTTGTGTTTTGTTCATGGAGTCACTGAATCACAGAACTGTAGAGTTTGAAGGGACCCGAGAGTCTTCTAGTCCAACCCTCTGCAATGCAGGAATCTCAGCTAAAGTATCCATGACAGATGGCCATCCAACCTCTGCTTAAAAAACTTTCAAGGAAGGAG